AAGGAAAAAGAATAAAAAAAGTCTGGGAAAAAAAAAGAATCATTTCTTCCTCAGAACTTTTCACATGTGTAAGTTATTGGAGTAAAAAGTTTCCGAAATAAAAAGGAAAAGTGAAAATTTCTTCATATCTTTAAAGGCCTCAACAACTGAGAAGAATATTAAAAAGAGAATTTTATTTTGCATCGTGCTCCAATTATATTTTTCTCGAGGACAGGTCAAATTTTATACCTACTTTCGTTTTAGCCATATATTTCCTGTGTTTTAGAAAAGCCCATAAATTTCTTCCTTTTCTAGCGTCTAAAGTATAAATTACGAAGGAACTGTAAATATACAAAGAGGAATGCAAATAATAGTTCGCATATTTTTTAAAATGGCGCAAAGGAATTTAGGATTTTTATTTCTGCACATACAGAGTTTCTACGGAAACGCGTTTCGTATTTTTAGAGAAGTCGGAAGTAGAAATAACATGTGACGTCATTTGAATAATCATATCATAGCTTTTTTACTAGAGACCCATTTTTTACAATTTTATACAGGTGTAATGCAGAGTATTACGTTTTGGGAAGTAGGAGTACAAAAAATTAACTACGCTTTCTTCTGGAGTCAAAACATGAATCTTTCAGTATTACTGGTTGGACCTGCTAATCATTTACACTAGGACAGCATGCACAAGAGAAGTTGATAAATGCCCACATTGTTCCCACTTAAAGGGCAGCTGGAGAGGCAGGAGATCAGGAGCATGTACAAGATTTATTGAAGGAGAAGCATTACAAAAATATTTAATAATTTGATAAAATTATCCATATTTCAACATTTAACTAACTGGATAAATTAAACTAGATAAATTAACTAAATGGATAAATTAAAAAATAAGGTATAAAATAAAATTACTGCATACATTTCTGCTCATTACAATTGTTTTGCAATGAAAAAGTTCTGAAATATTAAAGAAATATTATTAAAAAGCTATAAATTTTATGTAAATAAAAAAATGAATCATATTCAAAGTATTTGTTATTTTGTAATAAAATGAATTATTTTCGCATTTCGAAGTACAGTGCAAAGTATTAAGACGATTTTTATAATTTGTTATTTCTTAAAATAAGTAGTAATAAAAATTTACTTTTGCTTGTTAGTATGGAAAGCTCAGAGAAACGAGAATTTCTCGAGCAATTAGAACAAATGACAAATACTTTCTAGCGCTGATGGTATTTGAGGATATCGGCGTTTTTACAGTGATGTCTTTCATGGTAAATTTCAGGAGGGAAAATTTTCCTGTTTATGGTGTACACAAGAAAACATGTAGGTAATCAGTGTTACCAGCTTGTTTCAGTAGAATTCTAAAAGTAGAAAGAAATTAAATATTAAATAATTTCATTCATTTAGTTTGTAGATATTTCAGTTTTTTAGCCCAAAACGGTTGTTAGTCTCGAAACGCGACTTTGCGTTGTTTCCCTTTCATGCACTGTTTGACCTTTCACTCAACTTTTTATTCTACAAACAAAATTTAAGATATTTATCATCTAAATTTAATCTGTCTGTCACTGATGAACAAACTAATCTATTTAAAAGAAATAGACGCAGTTATTAACAATATTTTTTTCTTTTATATCTGTTTCAGTTTGTAGAGTTCTTCGTTTTGTAATTCTAAGTTAATGTTGGAAGTAAAGAATCTTAAGAACTGATAAGCGAATAATCGCTTAAGTTCGTGTGACAAGAAACAACAAGACAAGGGTAACTAACCCTTTATATTCAATAAGATTAACAAAACTCCGCCTGGGAGTGAACAATCAAAGCCGACACTGGGCTTGACTTAAAAGACAAAAATTAAACAAACTAAGATAACTAAAGAAATATAAGCCGAAGCTATCAAGATTCAAATCGAGTTGGCCCCTTAACTTATTTGAACGAAGCTTAGTAAGGGCCTGAGTACGGCCGAGCGTAATACAGTTTGAAAGAGAGTGACAAAAAGGCAGACAGCGTAAATCAGAAACTCTGATTCTCTCTGACTCTGTAAATAACTTCGTGGTTAAATACCGCTCTCATTAAATATTCAGCAAAATTCCAAACTACGTTCTGGCCAGAGTAAGTTGAAGGTAGAGTGACAGGAAGGAACTTAAATTAACTGTTAATAAAATTAACATAATCCTTACATATTAAATAAAAATGCATTTAATTCATGACATATCAAATTAAAGCTTTAAACATTTTAATAGAATTACGTTATATATATTTTTTTCACGTATATATTTTCACTTTAATGCGTCATTTCGCTTTTAATTCTGCCATTCGACAAAACGTAATATGTTATTTTTTCACATTTAATATATCTCTTGTTACAAGGTAAAGAAAAACGCTCTTGCCGTTTTGGACAATCAAGAAAAAGGTCATAGAACAAATAATAATCACCACTAATCCTCAAAGTAATCAACATCGGCATATATTGCTTTTTGTTAACGAGTGGCTAGCTGTGCCTTGCCATCGCGGTAAAAGTTAGGAGTCTTGGAGGCAAAGCAGTCCTTGAGGGCCTTTTTGAAGTCGGGCCGCTTGTTGAAGGATTTTGCACGAAGATGGTTGTCCATGGAATGAAAAAGGTGGTAGTCTGTTGGCGCGAGATCTGAGGAATATATGGTGGATGAGGTAGTGTCTCCCAGCCCAGTCGCTGGATGGTGTCCCTGGCCTCAATCACTCGCTGTGTGAGTACCAAAGCAACGTTCTTTGAAGTACCGAAGCAACGCGCTTTTATACTCTTTGCCAATCCCGCACTCCCATTCTAACCACTTCATTGCCAGGTTTGGGTGAATATTTTTATGTTGGGGTTCATTCTTCCAATGTCATATCAGAAACGGCAAGAACGTTTTTGGTTATCTTGTAATTAACAAAATGAACTATTTTAAGTAATGTATGCAATTCTTAAAAATAGTTGTTTTACTTTTGAATTTGATTGATTTAAATAAAAGTGCATAATTCAAGATACATCTAATTAAAAATATTAAATATTTTTATAGAATTACATATTTTGCTTTACTTTTTAAATGTATAGAAGGTATATGACGTACCCATGTTAGTTTAAATGCATATGCATTTAATATCCTATAAAATGTTTTGCTATATATTCTGCGCTATGTCTATTGGTAATTCCTACTGATAAGCCATACTAAACTTCAAAAGAGCCCTTTTAGGCCATTGTTAAAATCTGAACTCTTCCATATTCTTAATGGTTTTTCTTTGCATGCCTTAGGAGGCAAAATACTGCTGTTTATGGTACACGTGAGCAAATATCTAGCCAGCCAAGTGTAGTTGGACCATTTCGTTAAAATTCTAATGGAAGACAGAAATTAAGTGTGTAGTTTTTTCATCTATTTAGTTACTATTTGGCAGATACACGGGTCTAAATGTTGAGCATAATTCGTAAAATATGGAAGAACGAGAGTAAATGTTGAGTAAATTTTTCAGAATAATTGTCTGAAGGTGAAAAAAATGTGCATACGCAATATTTCAGTCGACATCGGCATGCGCAGAACATGTGCGCACGTCAGGAAGAGTATAAAACTGTTTCACGTGCCATACGGAGATCAAGCAGGTTATGTGCAATTGGGCTAATGAGCGAGTTAAATGTTCAAAAAGGCTGCAAAATGGCATAGACTCCAGATGGACACGTTTTTGAGCGGCAGAATTATTGGAATGCTGGAACGTAGACGATCTTAAGCCAAAGTGTGTCGAATTCTGAATGTGCCTCAGTGTGTGATCTCAAGACTGTGGCAGAGATTGCAAAGTACGGGAGATGGTACTCGACGACCAGTACATGAGTAACAACAATTCGTCAAGACTGATATTTGGAAATAACTACGTGGCGTCAGAGAAACAATTTGTGCCAGAGACCTCGGTTTAGGGCTCACAGCTGCCAAAGGAGTACGAATTCCGAAGCATACTGTTTATAGGAGATTCTATCATGCTGGTCTGTATGTTAGATGATCAGCTGTAGGCATTCCTTTAGCGTCTGCGCATAAACGCGCTTGTCTAAACTGAAACACTAGCACTGGAGTTTGCAAGAGTGGACCAGTGTGATGTTCATTGACGAGTGCCGGTTTATTCTGAACACTGATTTTGGTCGGATAACGAATTGGAGAGAACTTAAAGCTCGTTTTCACCCAAGAAACATCACAGAAAGACATCATTTTCCTTCCAAGAGAGTCATGGTGTGGGTAGGCATAGTATTGGATGACCACACAGACTTCCACATCTTTGACACGAGGTCTGCTACTGCTAAATGTTTGACAGATGTAGTCCTTGAGCCTTATATTAGCCTGTTTCGAGATGCTATCGGTCCTGGATTCATATTCATGTATGATAACGCATCTTGTCACTGTGCGATCCTGGTCGATAACTTCTTTGAAAGGGAAAATATCCAGCGTTTGCAGAAGCCCGCTCACTCTCTTAATCTTAATCTTATTGAGCATGTATATGATATGCTCAGGAGATAAAATGCAACCCTTCCGTATCCACCAAACACCATTTCAGAACTGAAAAGAGCTCTCTTTTAATGCTTGGAAATGTATGAGGCCACAATTCCTCCACACACTCATAACAAATATGGGAAATCATTGTGCAGCATGCATGGCTAACAGAGGCGAACATACACCTTATTAAACTCCCAAGAAAGCTTTTTATTTTAACGTTTTCCTTTAAAGTACAAACTATTAGTTTCTAGTGTTTTCTTTCATATTGCTTCTTTGCATAACAAAAGTGATTAATATCCTTCTTTCGCATTGTTTTCTTATGGTATAACCATATTATACTCATATGTCACGTTTCCCTCCATGTTGACTTACATTTCCTTAAATATTCACATAAATATCAATTATGCCTAACTTTTTGAACACCAGTACATATGTAATATAATGGTTCAGAACGTATAGGCAAATGCAGTGGAATGGAAGTGTTCTAAGCATAGTTCACACTGATGTTAAAAAGGAAGAAATTAAAGGTTTATCTTATACCTTGTAATAGATGGTATGTCATATCCAATGTCAAGGACTTTTCCGTCAGCTTTAACTGCGGCTGTCAACAGATAATATTTTTCTTCTGCATTGAAAGCCTCTCTTAGTTCCTAAATGGAAAACATAAAAAGCATGTTAAATTGAAATTAACCAAAATTTAATTTAAAATTTGTGTGAGATTTATAAAAAGATTCTATGCATTTCCAGGGAAGGCACAGGTTCGTTTTTCTCGATACGTAAAGTTATTCTAAGCCATTTTAATCATTTTGGGGGAAACAGAAGTAAACCATTTTAGGGGAAACAATAATAACTATGCAACAGTTTTAATGCCAGTTATTAAGCAGAATAAAATGGAAATAAGCAGAATGTATAAAATAATGCTTTCAAACACTTGGCTGGTGGCAAAGAACATAAAGGAATGCAAATTAATAATATCACAAATGGTTTTCTATGTAAAGCAAAGTTAAATTTTAACAATCTGACCAGCATGTGGTTTCACTAAGACGATCCAAATTTCCGAAAACTGCCATGAGAAAGAGGTATTTTCCAAATTTTTCTAACTTTTATAAATTTTTCTAAACGTCAAAATCCCTCTGGTATTTTATACCTCGATTTATATACTTTTAAAACATTGCCTTAATTTCTTGGACATATTTGAAAATGCACGTATATATACGTTCTAACAACATCACAAAAAAGTTCTAGGACTTATATATACGGCCTTGGCGGTCAGAAGATATTAAGGGGATCATCATTTGTAGGAAGTTCTCTTATAATCAGAAAGTACGGCATTCTCTTTTAACAATTCTTTACTAACATAGCTTAGAAAAGTCAAATAAATTTTGTAATTCAGTTTATCAAAGGTAAAGGAAAAAGCTAATATACAGGCCATTTCGTGTTATTGAACAGATTAAACACTCTTTTTCTACAGAGCTACTATACTTGTCCTATGTAAATTTGTAGGTGTACATGTTTATTTTGCAAATAAAATTCATTAAAACCATTTTAAAATTTATTTATTTCATTCGGGAACTATACACAGTATAGTAGCTCATTTTCTAAAATTAGAAGTTAGGAAGCCCTGCAGAAGGCTATCAGAAATATCGAGTATAAAGAAATAAAATAATAATGAGTAATTTGTAGTAAAATATAAAAAAAATAAATAAAAATATCAACAAGTTAAAATAATATAAAATTAAATTAATATTTGTATATTACATTACATTACACGAAACTTCAGTTGGCATCAAGGTAACTTAACAGTGATGTAGATGCCAAACATTTCAGCTGTCAGGCTTGGGTAAAGGAGATCAAGTTTCTCTGTCTTTCACAAAGTACACTTCTCTGAGATATTCTTTCATTGTATGAGACTTTTATATAACGTGTTCAATTCTCAGAGGGGTAAAATCACTGATGTTATCTTCTTGCAGTGACATTTATATGTCTTTTTTTATTTAAGCACATACTATTACATTTATAGTGCTTAGTCTTCTTTGCTAACAAGCATACACTAAGTCCAAAACTACAAAGAACTACCAAACGTCAACAAAAGTCTCAAGAACATTTTAAAATAAACCTTTTTATTAAGTCAGAACTGGAACATAAACATCACATTATACAAATCAACCAAACACTAATGGTGATGTTGCTTAAAGTAACAGTAAATTCAGGTTTAAAATTTAGTAGCCAAAGGATTTAAATGATTTAAATCGAAATTCCCTCAAACGTTTCACCAACGTAACAATTTGAATGTCGGCAGTTATATTGCAAAACCGAAGAATGCAATCTTAGCAGAGCTCGCTTAATTAAGTAACCTGACCTCGAGAGGCAGTAACAAGCTGTTTCTTAAAATCCAAAAACCTCGGGTTAATTATTCAATCTAAATTGCATTCTGTTAGGGAAACGGAAAGAGAAGTAACAGTAAAGATCTAAATCAAATAACTAGTTAGATTAACACAATAGCAGGCAGACTATTTATAGTGCAATATGTTTAGTCAGCATGAACATAAAAGTGCCAAAAGTATTATATTTTTAGTCAGCATGGATTGGCACCTTTAAGGACTTCGATAATGATGAATGAGAAAGAAACAAGTTGCTTCGAGCAAACATTTAAGGAAAACACTAAACTAGCTGAGGAATAAAAAAAAATTATTTTAAAAAGAAGAGAAATTATAGTAAGACTTTTAACGAATTAATTAGATATATCATTACCTGCTTTTATATATCAATAGATCATAGACCAGCAGTCAGCGTTTTCACTGCATAATTTCATAGTTTGTAGTGGTTATGATATCCAAGGTAATGATTAAGACTTGTTTTAACATGATAAGGCGCTAGTGTATTTCAGCATTGATGCACCTGGATGCCATTTTTGGAGCACGATAGATTGGCTATGGTGAACCAGTTCGTTGGCGGTGTGGTATGTTTTGATAGCCCAATTTATTTGGCCTCATTTGTTTTATGAATGAACACATCAGAATTTCAGCTGCACGTGTGCGAGAAATACCTAGCATCTAAAACTTCAACGCTACCAAGCACGCAAGCATGTATTACTATTAGTTGGGATTATTTTGAGTAATTATCGTAAATAGTGCTGTAAAGAAGAACTTGTCAACGATACTTAGTAAATAATGTATGTTTTTACCATTGTGTTATTAGTGTTTGTTTTTCAACGTGTCCGTTGCGCTTATACATTTGTGTGCAAAAACATTTTTTTTTAAATATGCATTAACAATTTTCAAAGTATGTTTCATGAATTTTGAATCGACCTATATAGTATATTTTGAACCCCATGGACACCTAACTATTTCGTATTATTGTTACAATTCATTATAACATTGTGTTCTCAGTATTTCTTATATTTACCTCATTAGGTTTATCTGTATATTAATTCTGTTTATTTGTTATTTTTATTACAAAAAAAAAACAATTTAATTTGCGAATTTCAAATTATGTTGATACTATATTGTAAACGTTTCATGTCCTAAATCGTAATTTTTAACTAATACCGGATGCGGGGCGTAGGGTGGGATTGCACGATATACCACAATAGGTAAACTCTAGATCATTTGGAAAGCATCATTTGCCCGTTTCCTCAACCATTTTTTTTTTAAATTATTATAAAGCTTGCATTTTTTCCTTTACTTTCTCTCCTTTTTTAATAGTTAGTACGGAGAGACACTAACCTTTGACCCATGATACATCGCTTGGTGTCCCCCATATTGTACCTGTGATATATTTTGTTTACATATTAAAAGAAAACTAGTTTTGAACGTAGAGTGAAAACTACGTAATAAACGAAATAAAAAAAAAAAAAAAAAAAAAAAAAAAAAAGTTTGTTAACTATGTTAGTGCAACCAAATTCATAATCTGGAAGTAGTGAAACATTCAAAAGGAGATAATCACTGTTTCAGCTGTGAAAAACATTGCATTTTTTGCATTAAGTTTCGGTACAATGGTCACAGGAGACTACTACTAAACAAAAATTTAGGACCGAATTTAGGGATTAACATAAACATCGATAACTCTACATTTTATTCGAAATAGGAATACCTTTTGGCTACTTAAGATTATTCATTAGTTTGCCGATATCATGGAATAAAAATGTAAAACATCAAATAAATTATCTGTTGAGGTTAAAAATATTTGAATAATTATTAATTATTAATTGCTAATACATTTGAATTAAGAATCTAGAATCGCAGACAGAAACCAGAATTTTTGCATGTCATTAAATCGCTTACCTTAACCCATGTTGCAAAATCCTCTTTATCTGTGTCAGGTCCGGCTGTGCAATTTCCTTGCCAACATTTGGGATATTCCCAGTCTATATCTAAGCCATCAAAGTTATACTGCTTTAAGAACTTGACAACTTGAGTAATAAAATTCTTCCTCTTCGTAGAATCGTTGACAAGACGGGAATACTTATCGGACCTGCTATCTTCCCATCCACCTAGAGAAATGAGCGTTTTCAAGTCTGGATTCAAAGATTTGAGACTCTTGACTCTCTGGAGAAAGAGCATAAAGAAAAATTGGGAATTACTTTACAATTCTTTTTATATTCGAGAAAATGAGATATACAATGTATTTCGTCTTTTACCTGGAAGAATTTGTTGTTGATGTCCGCCCATTCGTCGCTTGATTTCATAATCAGTTTGTTTTTATCCAGTATAGCAAAAGCATAGTTGATGTGTGTGCACAGAGTGGGATCCACATCCTCTGGCAGAAGATTTCCTGGTTGAGATCTGTACCAAGCCCAGTTGATAAAGTAGCAAACAATCTTCTGTTTACCTAAATTAATAGTATTTAAATAGTATTAATAGTAAATTTAAATAGTATAATTCCGTTAATGAAGGCCATTAAACCTTTTTCATCTTTTCTTCAGCTATATAGGGATGCGGCATTTTACTTTTACTTTATCCATTTCCAAAGTAGGGTAATACATTTATTACCTGCAGCATTAAATACAATGAGCACGGATGGATAATTCATTTGATTTGAATATTGAAACAAGCTTCATTTCTTCAATGCTACATCTTGAAAACGTCCTGTATGGCAATCAAGACATTGCTGCTCTTTCATAGATACACTTGCCATGACTTACAGTGCTCTGAGTAACATTCGTAATCTTCTGCTAAACTGCATTTCTAAGGCTGTTAATGTCAGGTACGGCATGAGAGATCTTCATGAAAAGTATGCTGTAGTAAGTTTCAAAGAACTGAATGAAAACCAGTGAATGTCACCAAACTGAGAAAGAAGTCACCACGGTAATGTAGCAGACGTTTATACTAGTGGATCCTGAAGCTTAAATTTACATTTATGCAATACTTGATATTAATAGCTTTAAAATTGCAGTTGGTTAGGAACTGCGTACGTTATCCAGGAAAATATACATCGTGTCTTGGCAAAGAGATGCAATGTCCTGGTTGCCGTAGAGGACACTGTGAAAGATCCCGAGCTTTATATAAAATGAGCGGACTTTAGTTAGTCTAACTTAATGAAGCAGATTTCTTGCTAACCCTTGCTTTGCATTCTGGGGTTTTACACAGTGACTTAGTATTTTACTATGACAGTAGCGACTAAGAGGGCATAAAAACACGAGTCTAGCCCTTCCAAGATACGGCTGGGCTAAGGGGGGATTGGTTGTAAGCCCCCAAACTTGAGTCTCAGTAGCGGAAGAGCGCCTGATCCGTTCAGTATTCAGATCGGCTGTTCCCTGTATCCTATGAAAGCTTAGAGGAAGGGGCGGCCCGCGTAGTACTGGTGGAAGCACTTTTGACGACTAGTCAGATCTTCAAACTAATAAGGCCGCAACACGTCATGACATTTGAAAAGCGGGAGTGGTGACCTCGCAGGCCCAGGTCGAGTGTTGAGTAGAGAGCAACCAAAAAGCTTGCCGCCAGTAAATGTGGGACTGGCGGCAGTAAGTCATAAAATAATGTTCTCCAAGGTGCCAAATTTGCCTGATCCCCGCCTCCCGCCTAATACGTAGGTTTCTAGCATGAGAAACAGGCCACGCTGTGTCCTAGGTAATGAGATGTTATGCGTATAAAATAAACTAGCTCTTGCTTGTTAAGTTTTCAAATATAAATGTAGCAAATACGTTAACAAAACATTTATTGCAACATGCAACACATAACGCGGAATGCAATAATTCTTTTGATCCATACGAATGCATCTATATCACCTTATCCTTCACACTTCAGCCAGAGACTGGATAAATTGTATCACGTTACGTATACATACATGCGTGTACGCAATATACGACACCCGTTGCGTGTCGATGTATAACAGACATTTCTAAGACATTGTATTGAAAATTTGAGGCTTATATCATCAGTTCAAGACACAGATTTATTTATCATTGTCAGTTTTATCTACTACAATGAACAATAAATCTGTTATTCTTGCTTCAAAAATCGTTAATGGCAAATGCTGTATTTTTTATCTATAATTCATACAAAGCCGAGGTGAACTTTAAATAATATCCTTATAAAAATTTTACAAGAATGTCATAGGATTGCCTGACTCTTATTATAAAATTTCTATTGTTGTTGGTTTTAATAATATATGACGCATGGAAAAGAGTGAGATGTCAAGTAAAATTAAATATAGAAAAGCAGTGTTACTTGGCATTCAATTTTATTTCAGTAGAAGAGCCAACAGCGATTCTACTGATATAAAATTATTCTTTTTTGCTACTGCATTCTTCATCTACAACTAAATGATATCGCAGAACAGAAAGAGAGATCAACGAATTTTCGAGAACTTTATATTAACAGCGAAGTCCGTTATTAAGGGAAAATGAAAAGGAGCAAATAAGTTGGTGCTATCTAGGGATGAAAAGTAGAATCAAATTGAAATCTGAAGTGTTTGTAAATTAGGAAAGAATGAACTCTAAACCTTATTCTCACTAATCTATAAACAGATCCTCAATCAACATGATTCCATATTTCACTCTTAAATGTGACATTATTTTTCTCGTTCTCTCCACTGCAGGTATTAGCTAGCCTTCTAATAAGTTTTAGAAAATTCAATAATTTTTGTTTTCTTTGTGTTACCATTTGAATGGAGTTGAAGAAAATGATAGTGTTAACTCACAGAAATAGGAAGTAAATTGTTCGAAAATAATGTTGTTTATCTGCATTTATATGATACTTATACTTCATTTTGACCATCAGCAAAACTAGCATAACTGCTATGTACTTCTAAGAAAGCTCTAAAGAAGAAGATATAACTTTTGAAGTAACTTTTGATATAGCTCTTCTAATAACTTTTGAAGATTATAAATAATAAACATCGGCAAATACCAAATAAAAAAACTTTTCGTCTGTGCCAAGAAATTACAAGTTAGGCTTTAACATTATCGTTTGGCATTACGTTAGTAACCTTAATCTCCTTCATTGTGCAAATTCAATGACAAAATTCAGTTGGAAAATAAAAGTTTTGATGAAAAAATTGCAAACGTTCTCTGCTTGATATTAATTAATCGAAAAAAATTTGCGATGAACCTAGTCCAGCATATCGAAACGATCGCAACCTGGGAAGATGTTTTATCAGCTACGTGTGTGACATTACAATCGAAATACACTTGTCACAGTTTGCTCTTAAGAAATGCACCCTTCACTTCTAAATGTATTGCGCTTTCTGGTGAAACATATGGGGCAAATTAGAATGTACAAGTAAGGTTTGTTCCACAATAAAAATAACAATTAGAAAAATACATAACAAAAAGAAAATCTGAAAGGTTTCAGATTTTAAATTACGTCCAAAGGGGCTTTTTTCTTAATATTTTGCGTGTTAACTTTATTTATTAAATATCATGTTCTTCGCACCTAAACCATAAATTCAGTTCAAGATGAATATCGCAAAATAATTTTAAATTGAGCAAATCTTTAGAATTTCCGATATGCAGTCTCACGCACTGGAGATTAAAATGTTTTTTCTGTAAAACTTTGGCATTACTCGTTTTGAAATTATTTAATTTTTTAATCAAAAATTCGTTGAAGTGTTACAAAATATGAAATCGACAATAAAACAAATTTCAAATTCAAATTAGGGCTTTCACATGCCCATCTTCTATGGAAGATTACGTTATTAAATTTTGACGGCTCTAGGTACCGGTGTTTTATCACAGTGCGAGAAACATATATGCATTTATGCGGATTCTTCACTATTTAATTTCTTCAGATATAATACAGGGCGATAATATTTGGCGGCAACGATTTGAAAAGTGATACAGCCTTTTAAAGGTTTCAACGCAAAATCGCAAAACAAAGACAATAATCCTTCAGGGCAAATTGCCCCTTTAGACTAAAAATTAGAGTAAAACCCTAGAATTTAAACAAATTTGTTCACGCGTTAATATTAAAAGAATCTTGTTGTTCTACTTCAGAATCCTGATATTTGAATTAACTGGTCAAATAACAGTATTCTGATATAAAATTTTCAGTTTGTTATATCATTTAAAACTAGCTTAGTTGTCTGTCGTGTAAGGTACATATAACGGGGCTTTGTCCTTGCAGGCAAAAGCGGAGAGATTTTCTGAGCGTCTTTTCTCTGATTTTTCTATTTCAGGATTTATGGCATTAAAAGTTTTCCATACACCTCACAATAACAATGATGCAAGGTGCGGTGTTTTGACATTTACAAATTTCAGAATTTTATTTCCTTGTGAGAAGTAAAAGAAGTACTGTTGTACAGACATTAGAATTTTTTTGAAGCAAGAGACTTGAAAAATGAGCAACGACTTCGCCGGGAATCGAACCACGGACCTCTGAAATACGCGCCCAGCGTGCTGACCACTACGCCACGAAGGCACGCTAAGAAGGCTAGAGAAATACCTTATACACATCCCCTTTAAAGGGCGATTGGGGTTTAAGGAGACACAATCGCCAAATCCTGGGTTTGGAGAATCATCATCCACCACCCTTTTTTGGTTCGGGCCCTACTTGTAGAGCTATTAGAATTTTTTTGAAGCAGGAGAGATGAAAAATGTGCAACGACTTCGCCTGGAATCGAACCACGGATCTCTGGAATACGCGCCCAGCGTATTCCAGAGATCCGTGGACTGACTACTGACCACTACACTACGAAGGCATGCTAAGAAGGCGGGAGAAATACCTTATACTCCCCCTTTTAAAGAGGACTGGGGTTTTTAGGGGACCCAGTTGCCAAATCCTGGGCGTGGAGAATCATCATCCACCACCCTTTTTCAGTTCGGGCGCCACTGTAGAGTCATTAGTATAATTGGAAGCAGGAGAGATTGAAAAATGAGCAACGCCTTCACCGGGAATCGAACCACGGACCTCTGGAGTACGCGCCCAGCTTGCAGACCACTCCACCATGAAGGCAGGAGAAATACCTTATACTATAATTACGAAAAATTTCTCATATCATATTTCAACTGAAATACATATTTTGATCGTTCCCGAATCGCTTTAGTTATTTTATTTTGTGACATGTATACGTTTGGGCAGAGCAAAAGATTCTTTCCCTCCTCCCAAGAAAAAAATGTAAAAAGGATTGAAAATTAGTTAAAAATGGATGAATGGATTTTTCATGACGTCTGTATGTAATTAAGTAGCATTTATCTACCATAACTCAAAAATGATTAGCCACAGAACATTCCGATTTTGTATATAGACTGGTATGACACTGAGTTGCGCACCTCTCTTTTTTTATTGCAATCGGCAGCACCAAGAGTAACATAACACGTCCCGTTACCCTGCGTAAGATTCCTAATCCAAACTTTATTTTCACAATCCTTGGTCATAGTCATATCTTCCCAGTTCCATAAATGTTTTAAATGACAAAAAATTCATGTTTTGACATGCCATTCATGTCATATCAAATTTAAAAAAAATATTTTCCCACAAATAACGAAATCTAACTTTTAATGCAGTATAACGGTTGCTATACTTTTATTTGGGAAAGTTTTATACTAGTTATGGAAAGATAAAATTTTAACAAGTTTGACTCCCGTGCAACAAAAATTGGCCAAGATACTTAATTTCAAAATTTGCAATTTTCGATGTAATTTTCAACTTGCCTGTTGGAATCAATTAGTATTCAAGTTAGGACAATTCGAGGAAATAAGTTCAGTAAAGTGCAACAAAAGTGTGTATAATTATTTAATAAGCCAAAGAAAGGAATCATGTGGTATCCACAGCAGATTTTTTAAAAAACTTTATCGAGCAAATTTATGGCAGAATAATAAATCAAATTCTTTTAATATTTTCATCTTTTGTACCTTATGACACTGAGACTTTAAATATGGAACATACATTAGTATTTTTAACGTATGTTAATATATATATTTTAGTTAAGTTATAAATAATTCTATTATGCAATTTATAGTTCATAAGTTTCAGGATCGATGAAAGAGAATTGTGAATGAAATTCCGCTTACCTGACACTTCATGCCAGAACACCGTTAAGGAAGCAAAGAAAAGAAAACTAGTAACTTGCATCAGGATTTTTGTTATGGCAAATTTAGTTAATTTTTACGTTTTCTATAGATATTGACTGAACCTTTTTAAATTCCTTCCTCACGAACAAACCCGGTTGAAATGTAATGAGGAAATTGCAAACAATTGTAACAATAACACGACTCGCCAGATGACAAGGCGGAATGAAATGGTTACAGTTCGTTGACGATCAATTAGAATAGCAACACATTTTTATTCGAAACAATGCAACCGCTTTAGAACAGGCGAAGCAAGCAAATGATAGATTTAGTCTCATTAACGTACAATAAATGAGGTCTGTAGAACAACTGCTTGAAAGAAAACCTTAATTACGCATTCTTGTAGAGTTTATGAACAACGAGAAATCATTCATGTTGAGCGAGTTTTCAAAATAGTTATATTTTTTCCTAACAGACTTCAAATTTCTGAAAAATGTTTTTGAAATTTGAGTAAATAAGCTGAACCGTGAAGTCTTCATTACGATCTTACGTGGGCACTCATTACTTGGTAATGTGTCTGAGGCATACTATTTATATGATTTTCAAAGTATTGGAAAGATGACCAAAATACTCTTGAAATAATTTAATTTGAATGCATTTGTAAACTTCTGTCTTTTGTTTATTTTGTTAGTTCTTCGTTACGATTTTATTGTGATTTTTATCGTGCACACGTTAAACGATCAGCGGGGGCCGTTGTGCCCGCGGGCATAGGGTTGAAAACCCATGGCTTAGAGGGTAAGAGAACTCTGAGAACCTGAAAAAATTTTAAGAGTAATATCTTCAGGCGAATGTTGTAGCCATTGATATACTAAACCTTGTATGTCATTGTATGGTATGCGGCATAATGTTCGATGATTCAGTGATCCGTTTTTTTTGAACATTACGATTTTTTTTTGTTTAACATAACGTGAGCATATTGGACCTCTGGATAGTTGATGTAATGTTCCCGAAATCGGCTCAGAGAGTAAGCCAAAATTAAGAAATCTGTCACTTACTGTTATGCTTTCCTGTGTTTTTATCTGTTGTTGTAAATTCAAGTTATCATTTATAGTGTAGGTATTATCATTAGGTATTTTTGGAAGCAGCAATATGAAAAATGAGCAACGCCTTCGCCGGGAATCGAACCACGGAATTCTAGAATACACGCCCAGCATGTAGACCACTACACCACGAAGGCATGCTAAGAAGACTGGAGAAAGGAATTATAATAGTTATGGAGAATTGTTGGAACTTTTGGAGCAAGAACTTGGAAAAGTCAACTATGCTTTCGCCAGGATCTTCCCGTACCTAGATGGAAGTATTGACCACTTACACCAGGAAAGAATGAAAGATGGCGCAATACGATCATTCCTTGCAGCTGTGTTACCGGCGGGAAAAGTAAGATACTGCAGTTTATTCAACACGTATAAAAAATTATAATGTTAAACAGCTTTGCGTTGAGTAACTACTTTCTTAGTTAAAAACGTATCTATACTAGCACAAAGCAAGTTCTTCTTATTGTTATAAATTATAATTATTTGAAAGAATAAAAAAACTGTGCAAAACGTGGAAATAATCAATAATTGTAAACCGTGCTTGAACTGGAAAATCTAATAAGCTATTTAATACGTAGTTTGCACATTAATTACATGACATCTTTTTTTTAAACCAATAAACCTAAAATATTAAAGAAATATAATTTCACACTTATAAATTCTTGATAATAAAATCATTAAAAAGAATATAGCTTGCAATGCGTACATAAAGAGAAGAATATTAACTTAATAATAATTAAGAAAAAACATGTGAGGGGGAGGAAAGGGAAAAGAAGGCGTAAAAGGTATTTTATAAAATTTTTTAAATAATTATTTGTGTGAAAGCCTTGCGACATATATTGTTTTCTTCTGTTAGCGAATGATAAAATCAAAGAAAAATACTAAGAATAGTGTTGACGAAATCTCACATTTCAAAAAAATATGGCTAAGGAAAAAAATATGAAGGCTTTTTTCTACTGGCGTTTAATTAATATTTATTGATTATTTAACCTAGGAAAGACATAAACATTTAAATTTTTCTTGAGAAAGATCCTGTACTATCCCAAGTAAGTGAGGGGAAAAACTAAAAAACAACTAAAAGACATGAATTCATAATTTTTCTGAAGATAATGAAGAAAGGCGTACAGATTTTAAATAGAATCTCACGAAAAGAAGGAAACACTTTTTTAACCATTACTATAATAAAGACCGCTACTGATACCTTAGGTTAGATTTTTAAGACTGAGGCGGGTTAACAATCATTAGTTAAATACTTTATAGCCAATAAAAAATTACATTTTTCTGGCCTTTGAAAATTTTATTCCTATACTAAAAGATAATTTATCTAATCAATTTGTTTATTACATGTACTTTATTACTTCGATATTGTAAAAGTATACTTCGCAATAAAACGTATGAAAATTATTCATTTACAATTTTACTTTAAAATCTTTACAGTCTTTGGCAATACGTGTTATTTTACAGAACGAGTATCAAAAATAAAATATATTTAAGCAACTTGTGATAGATAATTTCAAAATTCCTAACTTTTTTTTGTGCACATGTTATGAACATCTAAATGAAATCTATAACCTTTGAGAAAATTTTGTAATGCCCTGCGGATTATAAGCTTCTAGTTTATTTGTAGATACGACACAGTTTCCACAAAAGCGTTTATTTTCGCAAACTTTGGTCGTAAACATGTACTTCTAGTTATGAAAGTATTTTAAATGATTCAAAGACTCATGCTTTCGTATTTAACAATTTAAAGACATCAATTTTGTAAAAATTACGAAATCTAACATTCCCTATGGAGATCTAAAACATTGTGTTTCGCCGTCACCCTTTCACCGACAGGACAACCGGCTTACAACTGATTCACAGTGTTTAAAATAATGAAAATATTCAAAGTTTGTCAATTTCAGTTAAAAAAAAGCAATTACTTTTAAACAATTAACGAAATCTAACATTTAATATGGTTTCCTGGTTCCTAAACTTATATTTCGTAAAGTTTTATTCACATTATGAAAAAATAAATTATGAAAAGTTTGAATCTAGCAGGCCCAAAATGAACGGGATATTTAATTCCAAAACTTGCAATTATTAATGTCATTTTCGACTTGCCTTAAGAAATCGGTTAATTAAGTTAGAATAATTTGAAGAAATAAACTTAAAAAAGTATAGCAAAAAGTGTGTATAATTTATTAGCCTGTACAAAGATGTCATGTTGTATCCACATCAAATTTTTTATTTTGTTATGACAGTAATAAACGATTTTAATACTTTGCAATTTTTTATTGGTACACCTTGCACACACACACACACAGAGACACACAAAAGGAGGGGGGCGCAGTCCTGTATCTCCTTTCCGGCTGGACCGAATGACAAAATTTAACTTATGTTTTCCATGTCTTTGAAGCACGACTTGGGATATATATTAGATGTATATATAGCATTGTTCAAACATAGCTATTTTGACACAAAATCGAATTTTTTTTCTGAAATAAGATACCTTTTTTTTTTCATATTTCGATTCTACGACTCGAATTATGCCAAAGTACCAAGTTTCATAAAAAACGCACGAGTAGTTTTTAAAAAGTTAAAAATTGGAGCTCCTCAATGTTAATTCGCAGTTTGGCATATATTTATTAATATCTCTTCATTTTATTAAACATACTTGATGCCTTCTTTCACATTTCGAAATTTAGGTCCCATCAAAATTAAAATTCTAGGAAACTTTCTGATTTATTTTTTTAAATTGCATTTTGCAGTAACTTTTATAAATTTTTCTAAATCGTTTTGAATTATAACCTATAAAATATTTACCATGACCCTAAAGCAGATACATTTTTAAGGATGCCTGCAAAAATTAGAGCTTTTTATTCAAAATTTCCAAATCTATAAGCGAATTTATATATTGGCGACTTTAGGAATTTTGCATATTTGTTATAAGCGATAATAACGCCAAATATGGTTTACACAGTTTGTTAAAATTATTTGAAAGCATAAGCGAAGTACTTTTTTCCTCTCTCGTGCACAATGAAATAGAAAGGAAAATAGGTTACCGTAAATTTAGAATATTGCCAAGTGAATTAATTTTGTCGCAAGCTTAAAAAAATGAACAAAAGTAAATTTTTAAATTTCTCAGGAAATTTCTTCCCGAAGTTTACAAAATTTAATGTTTAGGCGTAATTTGAGTCGTAGAATCGAAATAAGAAAAAAAAAAAAGCATATGTGCATCATTTTCGGAAAAAATCCGATTTTATGTCAAAATACCTATGTTAGAACAATTGCTACACATAAATCTAATATATGTCCTAAGTTGCGCTTTCAAGATATAAGTAACACTAGTTAAATTTCGTCATTCGTCCCAGTAGGACGGAAGATATAGAAATGTACCCCCATTTTTTGTGTGCAGAGTGTACAAATTTAAGTTCCAAAAAGAAAAAAAAAAAAAAAAAAAAGTAAAACGAATGCCAAAACTTTAAAAATAGAAATAATTTTTAATTTAAGTTTTAACTCTATTCAGCAAGTGAGATTTCGTATTATGCATTTCTAAAGGTAGCTATTACTCTAGTCTAACTTAAGCAGAAATTGTGCATAATGGTTTTTTATACAATTTCATTAAAAAAAATTGAAGTGAAATTTGTTTTAGATGTTAAACGCTTTTCTGAGGGGTCAGACCGGATTAAACATCTAAAACAAACTGGAATAAAAAGTACTAGCTGTTATATGAATTGTTATTACTTATTTATACTAATAAGAAATGAAATAAGAAAGGTGAGCTACACAGCTTTAGTTTCTACAATACGTACGAGTAACACAACTAACCACAGAATATTTTGACTCAAGACTAGTAAGATTAGGAAAATAAAAATAGATATTTGTAACTCTAGAGAAAGCCGTTATAAAATAAAGAGTCCGTAATGTCTTCCCGTATTTTTAGGAGGAGGAGGAGAAATTGCTTCCTGGCTTCCATCACATGGAATAATCGGAATTCTTGAGCTCCATCAGAATTCTACTTCTTGTACATAAAACTCATACTACAAGGATAGCAGCATCGATTCTCCTTTCTCTTGTTAAAACATCCAGGCCCATCAGCGGCCGAGAGGTAAAGCCGCTAAACGCTGGTAGTTCCGACATGGGTTCGATTCCAAGCGAACGGGCTGGCTGCATGGGTGTTTTCGTGTTTTTCCCGT